CGTTATGCAAAGGTAGTTTTATGCTCAAAAGCAGCGTACTTATAATTCAACTTCAACTAAGATAGCGATAACTTCTTCTGAGCTTAAAGTTAAGATTTGTGAGTTTAAACAGCTAACTTTTGCTATTTAAGGAAGTGATGGATCCTTCTATCATCTTGGCTCTTTAGCCGGTTCGGAGGGTATAGGTTATTCACATAGGGATGTACAGGTAGCCACAAAACCGACTTCTCTCATATTTCACGTGATATACTCGTCCATCACTTTCAGGTTGCTGTCTTAACAAATATGCGAGGACGTAAACAAGGTGAGTATACGGCATGGATGGAACGATTAAGTCAACTCTTCGTCAAACATGTTTTCTCACAGTAATGTGCGCTATGAGCCATACAATAATCACTAGCCTCTTAGGAGGAAATCTGATCTCATATATAATCTCACAGCTTCGAACTGAGAGCTTTCTACAAATTTGGAACATCAACATCGTGACAAGTGTTATTTGTAGATAAATTGATTGCTACCTTACCTAGCTTTTCCAAAGGATATGGCAACTGAAAATAGTCCTCAAAATACGCTAGCAGCTTAGGCGCAAGTGAGAGAGCAAGACTGGTATCGTTCAGCTTCTCAGCTTCAGCATAAATACGGATCTGAAACAGATATGTAAATGGTGATCAAATGTAACTTGTAGCCTTATCTCACCCTAACTCCCTTATCCGTGTAGGTTTCTCGGTAAGGCATTGCGCCAACGACTATTGAGAATAGATACGTAGACATTTTCGGGGATCGAAGAAATGTCGTTGTTGTCCAGCCTCTAGAACAAGACAGTATATGATAGGGAAATTCCGAAAAGATTCGTTAGAAAATTGCACACGGCCCTTCTGTACTCCACTATCGCTCCGCTCCCTCCCATTTGCGTCTCTGACTGGTCGAATTTAGGCCAAATGGAAACTAATTTGTGGTGAGAGGAGGCGTGGCGACAGATGGGACAGAAGCACCTACACCAACTGCCACAACATATCAGCATTTGGTAGTAAATGATGTAACTTATTGACAATGTGCAGTGATGACCTGAATTATGCCACAGCGTAATTCTTTAGGGAAAATTAGATAACGATAAAGTTAAATCCGAAGCTGCGGAAACATTGGTCTTTCAAATAATTTCTTCGAAAGTTAACGCATACTAAAAATTCAACACATAAATCGGACACTATAAATTCAACACTGGACAATATAGACCGTAACGAATTAATATCGAAAAACATTTTGCAGCGCCTTTAGACTCTTCAAAAAAAA